ATGAATCGAAATGAATTTGTGAAGAGAATGATTCGACCACCGAGTAAAAATGAGAGAAAATATGATATGTTGAGAAAAAGATAAAGCTCTAAAGCGAGAATAGAGTGGGGTAAGATGCCCCCCTGTTGAGATACCGCCGCCTAATCATTCTTTAAACGTGCATAAACAAGTCCCCGACAAGTTGTCGAGAGAAAAGAAAATGGTATAGGACAATATAAGAGAATATGAATAGTATCATTTTTGAAAGATGATTTGCTCTAAGCTACTCTATTATTCAACAGAATCGAAGGTCATTTCGGAAATAAAAAAAATACCGAAATATTATTTGCTAATTTCTAAATAATGACATTAAATTTATAAATGAAATATTTCTATTTTATTCGAAAGAATGATGCATTCATTATTATTTAGTAAAATTATTTATTCATAAATTAATAAAATAAAAGTGATGGTTTGTAAAGGTCTTGGAATAATTAATTTCTACTGTTCAAGTTCCGGGAGTGGTCGGAGCACCCGCAGTTTTCATTTGGACCCCAAATAATTCACCGAGCTATATATCCTCCCTACATGAGGCCCCACCGTTTTTTCCCTGAGGACGACTAGATAAAGTGCCATCTCACATACGACTCCACCTACGGCGCCACTAAGGTCCACGAGATGAAATAAATGTGATACTTTCAGCACCACCACCTTTTTTACCGCCACAACCCTCGACATTAAGCTTCATAAATAACGCATAACTTCTGTTGACGGGGACATCTTTTTGTTATGTTCACACGAAACAGTGAGCTTTATCAATTAAACTTTTTTAAAAAAAAAATTTTTCTTCTTTTCTCTATTTTTGCTCCAAATGTTAGATGAGCAATTTTTTAATCTCCTTAAGATCAATTATGATAAATGAGCTTTCATTTTATACATAAACTTCTTATTTTTCTTTTTACTTAAAACATTTAAAGAATCTTTAGAAATAAAATAATTCCTTTCCAATACTAAAAATTATCTAAACAATAAATATTTTTTTAAAGTAATTAAATTTTATGCACTTGTAGATGGTAATATAATTAATAATTTATAATTTTTCTTAAGTTAATTTGTTGATTAAAATAATCTTTATATTTAACCAAACTTTTATTTTTAATCAAGCAGCAGATAAAACAAATCGTAAATAAGAATGCAATTTATTTATAAACAGAAAACAACTAACTTGATAAATTGCTTCTCTTGGTACTAAAAAATGTGATTACTCAAACATCAAAGTAATATTAGCTAAATTTCATCTCAACATTTTTCTTAATTTTATGCAAATATTTTTCACGTTTTATTAACTGAAAAGATAGTGAACAGAAGAATGATAATAAAAAGAAAAAAATGATGTTGGTTATTATCAGAAATGAGAGAAGTAGTTAGGTATCAACGAAGAAAAGGTAGTCGTAGCCCACTCAACGCCGTGTTGCGAGAGACCAGTGCGAAAGTGAATCTACGACACGACGGGTCCGACGCGCGAGCAACGCCGAAACCCCTAGCAGGGGGTCTTCCATCGGCATCTCCTTCCTCTTTTTTAAAGTCAGGATAGCTGTCACCGATAATGATTTGTTGAGTTTATTTGCATTTTAGATTTAGCCTGCCGCGTCTGATGACGGCGTGGTCCCTTATCTCTCTTCCTTTTCTACACTGGATACACTTTTTTTTGCTCTAATTCACGAACAAATCATTGAAGAATAATCCTTTCAATCATTATATATAAACTGACTACTAATTAAAAATATTATTTTTCATCTATAAAACATTCATTTATTTATGAAAATTGATATGATTACAAAAAAATACTAGACATTTTTTTTTATTGAAATAATTTTTAGCCATGTAATTTAAAAATTTTCTTTTCTTTCATTACTTCTTGTCAGAGGAACGTGAAAAATCATTCGATTTACCAGCCAATGTATCTTATTTCGTTCTTTGCTTTACACTCGTTAACTTAACAAATTGTTCAATTCGATGTGAAGATTATTTTATTTAAAATTAAAGTCCAAAATATAAATAAAAGAAATAAAATTAAACAAAAATTTTGATAATAAATGTAAATCCAAAATAGCACAGTAGATAATAATCTATTGACAGTTGAGGAATCAATTATAATCAAGGAAATTATATAGCTTAATTAGACATATCAATCTTGAAGTATCCCTAGCAGGGGTTCCAAAATATTGGTATAGTGCTTGGTATTTTTTTATAATCATTCTCTCTGTCTTTTAGATGAATATCAGACAGCGTGAAGAAACGTTCTCGAGGCGTGTAAAAGGAATAAGCGATTGTAAACGTGCACACGCGGTGAGGTGAAGATGCGTCAAAAGTGGAGGTGCTTAGTAGCGATCTAATTATCTACGCGGCAGGAAGCAAGGCCTCCCCCTGGGAAGTGCCAAGAATCAGAGCACCGCGAAGCCCACATAGAGTGAATAAAGCCTCCAAGTATCTCGCGCTCTAGGTAAGAAATATTACGAGACAATTACTATTAGTTTATCGCTTTCAATTATTCATTGTCACTTTATGAATTATCATTTAATTGAAGCCACTGATAAAATTTCATCTTTTATAACTCAAAACCTTCAAATTTCATATTTTTCATGGAATTGAAAAGGTTTATAAATTTTTAAACAAAATTTTTTTTTAATTTTGAAATTGTTGATTTTTTAATTGTAATTGCTAATAAGTGATATTTATCGATACATCAATAAATTATGCCTAATATCGAGTTTTTCGTTCGATATTTTTTATGGTCGATATATCGATGTTCGATATTTTTCACAATATCTACTATATGGAGATCCTGGTGGAATTTTAGAGAAGTCAAAAAAAACTGTTAGCAATTACATATTTGAAAATCAAATTCTTACTCGTTTTTTAGTAATTAATTAATTATTTATTTCTATTAAATTTATATTAGGATTCTTGCAAATTTGATTTGAACACGATTAGATATTTTTTTTTGGAGCTTAACCAAAAGTTACTACTATCTTCAATTCTAATTTGTCACTTGTGACTTCGATACCGATATATCGATATTTTAATTTAAATATCGATAACTAATGATGAGAAATATCGATAGTCGAATATCGAAATTTTTTTCCAATATCGCTAATTTCTATTTACAAAATTTGGTAATAGTTTTTGTTTGTTTGCGAAGTACTAGTAATTAGGAGATTTTAAGGAAGGTAAAACGGTATATTGCCTGTAGTACGTTACAGAAGATTAAACTTGCAATCAAAAGAATTAATATCAAACATATTAAACTGCCACTTATTTTATATTTCTTAAATAAAAATTTAGTAACAACCTTAATTGTCAAAAAAAGATGAATTGGGGTTTCATTATTAATTAAATAAAAAATAATGACTTTATTTGTTGGATTAAATGAAGATTACAATGCGGTATTGGGGTTCTTTTCCCACGATAAAAAGAGAGTTTTATTTTCCTTGATTGCAGTAATTTTTCGGAATTAAAGTTAAAGTAACATTTTTGGATCTCTAGAGAGTCCAGTCGGTCAGTCAGTCAGTACCAAGTGAGAGAGGGTGATTAAATGTGAACGTCTGTTACCGGAGATCTGGATTCCTTGGTTGAGTTCAATAAGGGGGCCTTATAAGAGCGGTTCCCGTGGTCGGTTTAATATGGAAGGGGAAGGAACCATCGCGGGTGACGGTCAGCAAGCGCGAGCTAACCTTTAACCTATCGTGCGTCTCGTTCCGCGTTGTTAGGCCTTGTCGCACCCGTTGTGTTCATTCTGACCATAGAGTGGCGTGGGCGAAACCACGGGAGGGGTTCAAGTTGGGCCCGCGGGCATCTTGAGACCGTGAGAACACCACCTATAATATTATTTAGTCTGCCCGTGCTCAACTCACTTCATCCTCTTTCTCTTTTTCTTATTCTTACTATCCTCTTTCAATCGTACACTATACCACAGAGAGTCTTCTTTTCTCTTACTCGATGAGGTTCCGAAGAACCTCCGCTGTTGTTGGGCCCATAGGCGCAATACACGGTTTACTCGCGCGCATTAATTGCTGTCGTAAATTGTTGTGGCTTTACACGGTCTCAAGTCGAAACAGAACGGTGTGCTGTACTGGCAAACGATGTAATGGGAGCTTATGGGCTTACAGATAACTCGTTGAGACGCTGTTGTTAAGATCAAAGTATCTATAGCGCAGCAATCAAAGAAATCAAAACTAGTCCTTAATCAACATATTCATCAAATATTACAAAATTACTGTCGAGAAATTTTTATCATTATTATTACCGAAATTGAATTTGAATGTTCAGTAATTAAGTTATTACCGTAATTAACAAATATTCCAATAATGTTTTAAAATAATTATTTTAGATTAATAAATAATTTTGTTTAAGAAAAAGAAGAAGATAATTTTCATCAAAACAAGAATTTCTATTCAGCACAATCGCATAAATATAATTTATTATGATTTATAGCATGAATGGAATCTGATCACTTTGATAAATAAAATTTTTTAAAAAATAAATAAACATAATTGTGTATATTACATGAAATTCCTCTACTGTTGAGCGTTAAGTTTAATAGTTGATTTGCAAACTTGATTAGTATATTCATAAATATAATATATTTCGCGTCAATATCTCCGGGATCCTCACTATGGGGCCCTTTGCACTCTTTTAAAAAAAATGGGCCCTCACGTGATAGCATACAGCCGCGCACGCTTATGAATATGCCAGCGGGTCTTCCTTAACTCCCCCGCATTCAAGTGTGCGCGCGTGTGTGTTGCCAAGCTGTGAATCCAGAAGAGTAAGGCCCAGTTGTCAGGGTCCGCAAGGCCCGTAAAGCCCCTCTTTCTCTCCTTTTCGTTTTCCTTCATTTCTCACTTCTGATGTTCCTCACACTGCTTACGAGCTATGGACCATACTAGTACTCAAATAACCGCCACCAGATGGCTCCACAAGCAGTACCCAGCAGCGGGATGCTTGTGCAGTTGTCAGGGCGCTTTCGCACCGTGAGCACTGTAGTGTTTACTCTGCCAATCATCTTATTTTGGTGAATGGCTAAAAAATGCCCGTGACCTGTCTCGTGACATTTCGTGATTGTAAACTCTGTCTGTGATTACTCATTAACATTAAAATAAAATTACCAAGTAATTTTATCTTAATGAAAGATTGTGAATGACTAATGTAGTAACAAATGATCTTTTTTAAAACAATCGAATGGTGAGTGGTGAATTAAAAAACCATCAAATCGTTGTAAAAATGCAGCAAGACAAGCAAGACCTCCCTACGTTGGGCAACTCAACATCCACGGATTTAAGAGAAGCTGAATCGTCGACTGATTCAAGTCTGAATGCTACTTTACCAAATTTTACTCTACAAAGTGTGGCACTGGGTCTCCAAGGTGCTCTTTTAGCAGCTATTCAACGGGCTGCTCTTTTACCACCTGGTCCTGCAGCTGCTGCACTTAATCTTCAAGCTCTGGAAACTTATTTGACTCTTCATAGACTTCATGTCTCTAGTGCGACCGCAAGTGTGTCCTCAACATCGTCCAATTATTCTTCAGGTGTTACATACAATCAAAGATGTTTGGTTAATACTAATACACCTATTGGATTATCTGGAAACTCTTTGAGTATTAAAAGTGATGGTCTAAATATTGATGTGCTTCAAACAACGTCTCTAGATGATGATGAAGTATCACATTTAGATTTTGTTACTGATCCTGAAGAGGATCTGGCACTTTTAGAAGAAGAGGAAGAAACACTTTTACATGAAAATTTAGACAGTTCTTCAAGTTCAACTATCAATCATGATTCTTTACATCAAAGAATTGGTGATAGCAATCCAACTTCCTCCACTTTACCGTCGGTTTCACAATTAACCACTATAGCTACTTCTACTTCCACCACAGTTCCTGCTACATCAACCTCCAGTGACTTGAACTCAACTAAAAGCTGTAGAACAGCAAGACCCAAGAAACAATTTATCTGTAAATTTTGTAGCAGACAATTTACTAAGAGTTACAATCTCCTGATACATGAGAGAACACATACTGATGAAAGACCATACTCATGTGATATCTGTGGGAAGGCTTTCCGACGGCAAGATCATCTAAGAGATCACAGGTATACATTTTAAATTAATACTAACTCTTTTTTAATTCCAACATAAAATGAAGTAGAAATATTATTAAGAAATTTTGAATAAATACAATTAATAAAATGGAAAACTAACATGAAAATCAAATATTTATTTTTCTAAGTTTATAGACCTCTATCTCTTTCTTACACACTCTAAAAAATTCATAGGATTATTTTTTATTGAATCAGAACTACCATTTTACTGATTACATATTAAATAAGTTTTTTTAGCTCTGATAACTGATTAAATATTTAGTTTAAATAAAACAAATATTATTAAAATTATTAAATTTTGCAGAAAAACTAGTTATTGTTTTTCATAATAATCGATTTTATATTTAAAACATTATCCTTGATGAATATATTATATTTCTTGAGCAATTTTAAACATTTTTTGATGATTTGTTCATAAATTACTGCCATTTAGAATTACTTTCACTTATTGAAATACATACTTCAAGTTTATCTCCAAAAAAGAAGTCAAAATAAGAATTAATATTTCTTTTCATCTATAGAATACATATTTAAAAAAAAAAAAACAATAAAAAGTTTATTCAAATTTTTCAAATGATTTGTACAATGAGTCGATTATTTCTCCAAGACTTTCGCTCATACGACTTTTTACGATCTGTGTCGAATCGATTCCCTCTTGGCTTGTTATGTAGCATGCATGTGTTGCCATTTAATTTTCACTCTGGCATTGTCAACAATTTTTGTGATGCTTACATGCAGCATTAAAGTTCATTATAATCAACTAAAATCTATTGCTGATATAACTTATTTCATTTCAGGTACATACACAGTAAAGAAAAGCCATTCAAGTGTGCAGAATGCGGAAAAGGATTTTGCCAAAGCAGAACCTTAGCAGTTCATAAAATCTTACACATGGAGGAGTCACCACACAAGTGTCCAGTTTGTGCTAGGAGTTTTAATCAACGGAGTAATTTGAAAACTCATCTTCTAACCCATACAGATATTAAACCATACCACTGTGCATCTTGTGGTAAGGTTTTTCGACGAAACTGCGATCTCAGAAGACATTCTTTGACTCACAACCTTGGAGTTGCATCTTCCTCACCACCTCCAAGTCTTTCAGTACCTGGATCCAATGCACCAGTACTTCAAGAGACTTCATAGTGTCAAAGCAATTAAATGTTTAACATACTAGAAATAAAGACAAATATCAAGTTGCTATTTATCTAACTATCAATAAAAAAGACTATTCTTTCTGTGATCTTCTTTGGATTTGGAATTCTAGAACATGATATTGAATATTAGGCTCGTGCGATAGATCTGTAAAAATTCTACAGTTTTGGTTAAAAATGTTTATAGCAATTACTTTGATTTACTTTAAAATATTTATTAATTTGTTTCATAAATTCATTTTTGTTTATGAATAAATTTTTAAACTCAAAAGGGGAAGGGTTTTTCTAAAAAAAAATTCATAAAATTATATAAATATTTTTGACCATAACTGTACTACTATATGTATATTATAAATATATTAATGAATTAATCTATTGTATAAAATTTTTTATGTATACACAGTGTGATAATTAGTTCACTGAACAATTATATCTGTGTTTTGTTTACAATTGTAAAATAAATGCATTTTTATTATTTTTCAATCTATCTTTATCATTCAATAAAAACGCCCACTCACCAGCATTACCCTCATTAACTAGTAAATGCAACTTTCTAATTATATTTTATGAAATGTGGTTCATTGTATTAATTGGAACCCTTCTTCTAGATTACAAAGTGAGTTGGTGTAAAAAAAAAACAAAGAAAATAAAGAGAAAGAGGAAAAATGTATAAGAATGAGGAGATGAAAAGGTGGCTCGTGTTTCAAAGCTAAGATACCGCCAGGTGTGTGTCAGGGACATCAAGTTGATGATTCGTCGTCTAGGATTACGTTTTCTTTCTCCTCTTGAGGCCATTATCAGGGTCTACAAAACAAGTCTGGATAACGATAAAGTGGAATTGTGTGCGGTCACTTCTCACCTCACATCAGAATAGATATTTCTTACTTTAAACTCGTTAACGATAAATGAGTAATATTCCAACATGGGCTGCTATTCATGAGTTTGAGTATATTATTAAAATCCAACACTAGTTGTAAAATTTTAATTCACTACCCTTATATATTAGTATTCATAATACAACTCCATGAGATAAATAAATAGTGTCCATAAATTTTCAACCTTTTATTTTAATTTACCTTAATTTAAGTTAAAGATAAACAGTATTTTATTCTAGTGTTTAATCCAAGGTAAAAAAAAATTAATTGTTTTATAAAAGTCGACGTGAATTGTAATATAAAGTGAACTTGAAAGATTCATTGAGGAGAAACGTTGTAAGCAACGAGTAAGTCCCAAGAATTTAGTTAGGCCTCATCATGAAAAAATTTATTTGCTGTCAACACACAAGTGAGATTAGCATTCAAAGTAAATAAATCAACCCTATGTGTATTCATCGCGTGATCTTAAGCCAGTGATAGAGCTCGCTTCCGTGCGGGCCGAAAATAGAATGGGGCCTTAAGTCACCTGAGGACATAAAACTTTGTTAGTAAATCATGGGTATTACAGGAAGAAGAAAAGAATAGGTGAGAAGAAACTAATAAGCTATATGTTTGAATAGGAAAATTCATGAGTGTTGCAAATGAGCTTTATGTCTGTGTTTGGGGTCTTGTGTCCATTTGAATTGAGGTGTGGACACGTTAACATTAGAGAAAACATTTTTTGTGTTAGCACGAAAGCAGATGAAAGAAAGATAGAGACAAGTCGCGCGGCCGCGTGGGGCCTTACGAGATATATTAAGTGGGGATAGGACCCGCAGACTTGATTCTAAGTGGGGATCTCATGAGGACACTGAGGACCACACGCACGCGCCGCCCACAGATACGGTATCACTCGCTACAACGGACGTGATCTGCATGCGCATGTCCTCTTTCATCACTAAAAACACACACACACACATCTTAGACATCTCCAGCCTCTTCCTCCTTCCTCTTCAAAAAATTCCTCTTATTCTTACTTACTTTATGCTGATGGATTAAACCACTAATGTGTCATTGCCAAATTATATCTAGCCATTCACGATATTAAGTGACAGCATTTTCCAAAAATATTATCAAAGAAAAATTAGCTCAAGAGTTTTTTTAACTGACAAGTGTTTATAAAGTTAGTGAAATGATTTTTGTGTTAAACTTTCTTTCTTTCATTGGCGAACATCGTCGTGGAATGGAAATAAAGCAGCAGAAACAACTGGAGACACGGGGATTTCGTGTAGGCGTTTTCTGAGAGCCGGATCGATTTGTCGGGAGAATATTTTTGGGGAATTCTTGGAAGGAAGTATTCTTGTAGGGAAAAAAACAAAATGTGAAGCTCAAGTATTCAAGATAAAATGTTAAAACAGTGTGCTTTTATTTCTTTTACACCTTCGTTCGTTCGATCCTCACGCTTTGTGAAAGGGGATAGCAGTGAGTCTTATTGACCGGGTACCTTTAGGTACACGAGTGAACGTGTACCATGATGGGGCCCCGTTTACACAAGCTTCAAAGTGGCAATATGAGAGTGTAGGGCCTCACACGCATCCGATGTAACGTCTCCATACGAGCAAACGAAGTTGTACTTGCCGATATACGATCGGGGATGCTCTCACGCGTACGTTTGTTTGCATCGAGAAAGAGCCCACCCGCAATATCAAACCTGTATATATAGACCTAACGACTGAGAGTGAAATTAAATTTACAACAAACGACAATAGAACGCATAGCACTCAAGCTTTACATATTGAATGTTCTTATTTTTTTTTCTCTCTCAAACTAAAATTACCTCTTAAGTATCTTTGAATTTTTTTCGTTTATGACAGAGTATTTTTGAAATAGCTAAATAATTTTGAAGTTTATTTAAAGTCAAATTATTTATTAGATTTATTTATCAATAAATGTCGACGGTTTTAATTTAATTATGTGATATTTTACATAGAATAATATTTTAAAGTTCATGTATATATGTATATATATATATATATGACTGAGACATTAATACAAGCTGTTTGAATAATTTATGCAAATTTGCACCTTGCACAATCCATATTTTTTTTCTTCAGTGATGACAGAACTTTTTTGGGAAATCTCGATCAAATCCCATTCTTGGTGATCTTGGGTCCAATTTTGCATTTGCGTAGGAGTAGAATATAGGCAGACGGTTCCAAAAGAGAGTATGCCTACGAAATACGAACAGGCGGACAGAATGACAGACGGCAGAATGCTCGGGGCATTGCGGCACGAGTGGTGACTTCTGCGATACAGTCTCAACACGTCGCCTACACATTTGATCTTATGGGCCCACCCTTTTGGGGTCTGATCGCGCCACTTCGCCACGGTTCGTGGTGGCAAAGCCGTGAACAAAAAAAATCCCTCTTTCTTCTCTAGTGCACCGTGATTTTATTTATTGACCTTTTTCGCGGGACCCACAGGCCGCAGAACAGAGTATAAGGCCCATGAGAAGACATCCATGACTGTTCTCACTGGGTACCGCGAGCGTATTCGTGTCTCCGAACCCACAACGAAGAAGAACAAGGGAATCAAGACTTGGTCGTATAAGCGATCTCCTTGTAATACGTTACAACTTGCGGTCAGGTCAGACTTTTTCTTCCGTTCCTTTTCTCTCTTTCTCGCTTAAGAAGTCTCATCTTTTCTCTTTGATGTTCAATAAAACAGTGCAAACATTCTCATTTATGCTGTATTTGAGACATTTGAATTTTTTTTTCCAAACTATAAATTTGCTTTGATTCCCCATCGTTGGGTTCACAATAATAGCCAAACTTTTTTTTTACTCTTCAATGGAGTTTATTTTCAAATTTTTCATTTATAATAATTTTATGAAAACAATATTTATTTATTTATCTCTATAAAATCCTATGCAGAAGGATTTACTTTAATTGTTAATAGCTAAAGAACAATAACTTAAGAAATTAATTTAATTATAATTAAAACTTTGCCAACCTTTTTCTAATCTATATTGTCCAATCCCAATATCATTCATATTTATTTCATAAATAATATTCGATTGTTTATTGAATTATTTTGTAATATTAAATATCAGAATTGTTGAAGTGAAAATATGGATTGGGAGAGAATTGGTAAAGTTTAATTTATATTGTCAAATAATGAAACGAGAAATGACCAAAAGGAACTAAAAATTTCTTAAAAATGATAGTAAACATTTTATAATTAAAAAAAGGCACTTGATGTGCTTTAGTTTCAATCGTAAACTGAAATAAACAAATAAGTCAAGCATTACTAACAATAAATTTCGTTGTTTCTCTATCCACATATAGATGGAGACATACAATTATTTTCCAATATTTATCATTACCAATTTTATAAAACAATTATCTAACAATAATACTACGTCGTCATTAAAATCAATTTTTTTGAATTTTCAGGTAATAAATGAAGAAGAGAAAAATGATTTTAAACTCAATTTTTGTCATTTTTGATTGTCAATGGATTGGGTAAAATTTAGAAACATGGAATTTAAGATTCATAAACGAAATCCTTGGTTATTTGGGTTTTATTTTATTACACCAAAAACATGTATGCAAGAATAGTCGAACACGAATGATTGGTGTCTTTTTTTCATTTTTAACGTATAGATAGTTTCTTTTGCTGCTTCTTCCTTCTTTTTTTCTAATTAATCTTGACATTTTCTCAACGACCGTGCACACGAAATCACCCGGTAAATTATCGGACCATCGTTATCTCGACATTATTGAGCTCCGGTACCTGCTCTTCCACGCCTTGAAGCATTCACAGTTGAGATAACGTTATCTCGAGGTTTCTTGGGAGGCAGGTAAGAATCCCGGGTGTTCGTAAATACTTATATACACATATATAAAAGATACACACTTGTGCATGTCGATCGCCCGCGCAACAAAACTCCTTCTAAGTTTTAGGATTTTTCAAACACTTTGCTCTATCTCTACTGCGTCACTAAATATCATTTCATTTATCTTTTTTTTTTCACTACTCCTTCCGCGCTTATAAAATGATTCATAGCGACCACAATGTCATGTTTTTTGCATTGTGGCTTTAGAACATTTAATTGCTTTTCAAGGGATGGCTTTCGGCACGCCGCAGACTTTGTGACTTATTTATTTGACATAGAAAAAATGTTTAATATTCTTTTATCATG